TTTGTTTATTATAATTCTGCTTAGGCCAACTCCATTCTTGCGGGTCAATCGCCAGCTCTCGCCTTGTACTGCAAATCCGAAAGGGTCGGGCACTTCCCAACCCCCCCTCTGTTTTCTTCTCTGCGCATACCGCCACCGTCTCAATTTCATCAGTTCTCCACCGCATCTCCGCACCAGGTCCTACTCTCATTGGGGCTCCCAGACCCTCATACCCAGTCACCGCGTTCCATGCTCGTGTCACCACCTCCTCACCCTGTACCTGAGTGATCTGATATACCTGTAGGGGGTGTGTCTCTCCGTTACGTCTCACCCATTCTCCCCCCACTCTATGGTCCTCCCTCAGTGTGTCCACCCATTGCGTGGGAATAGCCCGCTGAAGGGCAGATAGGTGTTGCCGCCTCCGGAACTTGTGGGGGAGCCGCACTGCCATGTCAGCCTCTTTCCTCCAGTCCCTCTCCTCCTCGTCCCACAGGTGGCCAATCTTAAAAAACCCACATTCCGCCCAATGCTTCCCAAAAGCTCCAGGCTTCCCCTGCCATGGGAACGGATCACCCGTATCGTCACATATGCAGGGGTTGTCAAAGAGGAGTTGATTATAGACATCGTCAGCGGTGACCGGTAACTCCTGTTGTAATTGGAGCTTTTTCCACAAAGTCAGCGCAACAGACCAAATCTGGTTCCTCTTGACGTGGCTAATGAGACTCGGGCTGGCCAGCGCCACTAAGACCATTTGCTCCGTCATGCCAAGCGCCAGGGCCAAATGCTGAGTGGTAAGGCTCTCCCACGCTGTGCCCGCCGTCCCCAACAAAAACCACAGCAGGTTACGCAGCTGAAGCGCCGTCATCTGCAGTTCTGGGTCCAAGATCCCCAGCCCCCCCTGACTCCTGGGCTGGGTGAGCTTCGACCAAGCCACCCTAGGGATTACCGACTCCGCTTCCACATCTCCCGCCCACAGGTATCTATGTACCGCTGCCCGCAACTGCCGGAAAACCAGCCTCTTCGGCATGTGGATGGCCCCAGCATACCACATCGTGGACAACACCGAATTTTTAAGGACAAGGGCCTTGCCAAAAACTCCCAGATGCGTCCTCTTCGCCCATCGCCCTAGCCTCAAAATTGCTGTCGCCGCCAATCCTTCCATCTACTGAGCACCCCCTCCCACCGGATGAATCAGGGCCCCCAAAAAACACAGGTTTTCACCATCCGCTAAGGTGGGCACATCCCAGCCTTCAGGGGCAACATAGCCCTGTGGGAGGATGGCCTGCGACTTCCGCCAATTCACCCTGGCTCCTGAGTATAGTGAAAATAAATCCAGATCCATTTGGAGGCGCCTTAATTGCTGTGTGGTAGGAGGGATGATTGCACCGGTGTCATCTGCAAAGGCAGTGGACTTAAGGATCATATCTTGTCTCAACTGCAGTCCCTGCAGAGCTTCATCCCCTCGGAGGAGGTTGTGTAGGGCCTCTATGTAGATGACATACAGAGCAGGTGAAAGTGGGCATCCCTGCAACAATGATCTGGTAAGTTGCAAAAAAACGGAGCGCACCCCATTCACTTGCATACACGTGCGTGCTGCAGTCAGGAGCAGTCGAGTCCAGTTACAGAAAGTTTCCCCAATGCCCCGCCGGTGCAGACTTTGAAAGAGGAATTCCCATCTCASCCGGTCATAGGCTTTTTCAAGATCGATTGTRACAAAAGCCAGTGGCTGATCGCAGRCCTCCTGGTGCCTAAGGATCTGTCTAGCCAGCATAATRTTCGAAACAATCTGCCTCCCCGGAACAAACCCCGCTTGAGTGGGGTTGATAATACAAGGGAGCACCTCATTGAGCCGGTTCGACAGTACCTTGGCGAGGATCTTGTAGGGGGCATTGAGAATTGATATCGGGCGCCAATTCCTGACGTTCTCACGGGCACCCTTCTTATAGATCAGCACCACAAAGGCATCTGCAAAGCCTTCCGGGAGATGTCCCGCGTGCAAGGCGTCATTAAAGGCTCGCATGCGGAGTGGACCAAAGAAATGACTCTCTGCCTTATACATTTCAATAGGGACTCTGTCCACCCCCGGCGCCTTGAGTCTTGGTAGCTCTCCAATCGCCCTAAGGACCTCTTCTAGCGTGATGTCCCTCTCCAAAGGCTGCGCCTGCTCCTAAGTGAGGCCAGGCGGGACGTACCTCCAAATGTGCTCCTGCGGGGCCGTCGCCATCTGCTCCATAGTCCAAAGTCCCCAACGTGGTCTCTTGCCTCGCCTGCCGCAGGTCAAAGGGGGGCTCCATTGCCGTCATGAGGGCAATCCCCTGCTTCTTTCCCAGCTCTCTGAAAAAGCGTCGAGACATCTTCTCACCCACCACAGTCCATCCCACCTTTGATCTGCGCCCCCAGCGGGCGGTTTCCACCGTCTCCCACTCTTGCCACTCCCGCACGGCCTCCATTCGCTCCACCCACCATTCCTCTTCCGTCCGCTCATCCTTGGGGCCACAATTAAGCGCACTGAGGTGGTCGGCGTACTCCTGTCCTGTGGCCAAGTGGGCATGGTAACTACCGGCCAACCTATCATGCAGACACCTGCGCATCAGAGCATTGCCCTGCGCCACCCATCCCAACTCGTCCATTCCTTGGGGGCGTCTCGGCAGCCAATTATCCCAATGTTGTTGGATCAGAGGTTTATATTCTTCGTCCTGAAAGACCCATGCGGGAAGGGATGGTTGTGGGTGACCCACCATAATGTCCCCCACCGGAAAGTTGGTTGCGACCTTTACATGATCTGACAGTGCTGTTGGAAGGTAAGCAATCTCGCTGCCGCTCCTGAAGATCGAACTCGAGGCCCATACCATGTCAATCCGGCTCCTTCGGTTTGCCGATCCATACCAGGTGAACTCCCGTCCCGCAGGGAAGGCCGTGCGGTAGACGTCCACACAGTCCAATTCTGCCATAAACAACTGTAGCGCCTCCGCATCTGCCGTGGGCGGGCGTTCCTGGAGGGAATCCAGCCCCGGATGGATGGATAGTGGTGTTAAAATCCCCAGCAAACACATAGCATTCAACTTCGGGGATTCGGGTTCTGAACTCAGCCCAAAGATCAATCCGCGCGCGGGGATCCGAGGGTCCATACACCGACACCACACACCAGCGGGTCCGCCCCCACTATAGCATCACCTAGGCCCATCGCCCCTGTCTATCCCAGTTCCTGTCCACCAATTCCCCTCGAAAATGGGGGGATATCAGAATAGCCACGCCCCCCTGCGTTCCTCTATCAGTTACTCCTTGCGCAGGGGCCCAGACCTGAGGTCCCTTCCACCAGGGGGCGTCGTGCAAACAGAGTCCTTCCCCCAACTTAGTCTCCTGGAGGCAGAGAACGTCGATCAAAGTGTTTGCGGACCGTACGCTGCAGCTCCCATCGCTTCGGATTTAGAGAGCGAGTCGACAAGCCCTTCATGTTCCAAGTTAACAGCTTGAGCTTAGTTTCTTCGATCCATCCCAGCAGCCCCAATCAGACGGGTGGATGAAGAAAAACACCAAATTGTAAACAACAAACCAAACAAAAAACAGACAAGCAAAATGTAATCAAAAAAGAAAAAAGCAAACAAAAAAAACCAGATTTACAGCGCGAGCTATTCTACACTAGAGGAGGGAGTGCAATCACCCATAGGCACTCATAATTAACACAGCGCACCTAAGTCTAACCCTGCTACATCCTATCCTCCGTCGCCCACCAACCTTTAGCTTCAGTAAAGTTCCCCGATCCCAGACGCTCGTTCGTAGGTAGCATAGAATTGACTTTGGCCAATATCCCTGCCGTAAACTCGTTGACAATCCGATAGTCAGTCGGGCTGGCACGGGGGCCAAAGACCTGATCCAACTTCGTCCAAGTAGAATCCTTGTGAGCCAAGGTCAGAGAGCCCACTCGCCGGGGGGTGATGGATGTAAAAAAGACCAACAGTCCGTACTCCGTCCCCCCTCGCGGTTGTCTGAAAAAGCGTCCCACCGAGACTTTAGGAAGCACTTTCACTCTATAGTTAGGACCCACCCAACGACTGACTTGTCTGATAATATTCGGGTTCTTGGGGAGGGAGCGCGCCGCATAGACGAAGAAATCCGTATTCCCTTTCGTGACCACCTTAATGCCCTGCTCCGCCCACCATAGCATCACCGGGCAGACATAACACTCCTCGACAGCTAATATTTCCTGTAGCGATCCCTTCACCGCTGTAGTAATATCCATGTCTGTTTCCATCCCCTCATTGATATCCATGTCCTCATCCATCGCTCCGCCCCTGTCATCCGTCGAGTCCCCACCTTCATCCCCTATCATGGGCTCATCCAAATCGGGGGCAGGCTGACGGGTTTGCGCATCCTCCCTGCCTTCCGCCAGCCCCTCCTCGGTCACCTTATTCTGCAACTCCTCTTCGTCAATGCGTCTTCGCTGCGGGGACACCCATCGGTCCTCGTCTTTAAGCGGCTGCACCTTACGACCAGCCAGGGAGCGGGACCGATCCCGCCTCTTCGGTTCTGCATCCGCCTGTGCCTGCAGCTCGCGTCGCGCCTCTTCTCGATCGGACTGGATCGCCCCTGCTGCTTGCTGTAAGAAAATTCCTACCTTCGCAGGGCTCGATATGGGCGGTCCCGAGGTCAGCTGCTTCCGCCGACGTGAAACGCGGGTGAAGAGAGAAACGAATGCACCACGCTTCCAACATGCCCGGACGGACGGAAAGCCTCCACCTGTGCACGGGGGCACAAAAGGAACACAAGCCCTCTTCCCCCTGGGTCCACATCCGCCGGTTGCCGCGGGCACCCCCAACAGCACTCGACGCAGGCGAAACCCAGGAGACAGAGGACAGTAGCCTTCGAAGCCCACAACCCAAACGCAGCGGAACCACGACGCAACGCGATCCGTCACGGTGTGCAGCATACBGAGACCACAGGATGGGGGACACGACGGGCACAAGCGCGCATTCCAAAAATCGGGCGGATGACGGGCCCAGCCTCGCGAAGCCGTTGGAGGGTGCATCACGCATCCCACAGGTCTCCGCCCTYGCATACGGTAAGCAGCGCGTGCATGGCCGAGGCCACCTGCGCCACCGCTCAATGGCGCCGCTCGGATGGCGAAGAGCGCAGAGCRTCCTCACCAAGTCGTGACACCCCCTCAACACAAACGGAACGCGCCGTTGTGAGTGCGGACACGAAGACGACACCACAACAGAGCCGCAACAGCTCTCCCCGTAACCTACGGGGCGATGGTGCCGAAGCTAAGACCCCGTGACGGGCACCTCCGCCTCCACACCCTGCAAACGACCGCCAACTGGACCGCCATCGGCGATCAGGCGCCAATCATCGCAAGACGATGAGCGAGGGTGAACGCAACGATCTCCAACCCGGCACCACAGCCTAGGAAAGCCCCGACAGCTGCGACCGCCGCCAACGATGACCGAGCTGTTGTGAAATAAGCCCTCCGAGAGAGACGACCATGGACCCGAACGGCGCCGCAAAAATGTTCGCTCGACCACCAAAGCACGACTCGCCCATCCCTCGCAAACTGGAAACCACCCAAAGCGTG